ACTCTGTGCCACTGCAGCTGGAGGCTCAAGCCTCCTGTCTCGTCTTCCAGTGCCCCAGAATGCAAACTCTGTTAGGTACAACTCTTGTGGGTGTAGGGGATCAAAGAAGCAGAGTGGCATGTGTATACTCATAGAAGGTGTCAGCAGGGATCCCTGGAGGTAGAAAACTTCTGCACCTCCATATTCAGTCCATTATGCCACCTTCACATCCTTTTTACGAAATAGGCTGGGTCAGTAATTAGAACACAGATTTTGAGAGACCAATAGTGAAATCCTGGCCCTAGTAGCATTAAAGGGAGTTTTGCAGTTAACTTGCATAGGGCCAGGGTTTTTTCTCTGTTCTTTTAAATTAACTTGTTATTGTACTTGTCTCAGTACTATCAACTGAAAAGAATTGTACAGTACTGAGGGCCAGTTCTTCCAACAAGGCTTTAGCCTCCAAAACAGCTGTATTTTTTTTTAGCAAGGACTGACAATTATGCTAAACCTGCTGAATTACTATAGGCAGTGGAGTAAGCAAAGCTTTCTTTTCATAGTTACTCAGGTTTGTGTCAATGACACAAGTCCTAGAGGTGATAAATGCAGGGCTTCATGTTCTAGTCAGCCGGAGTTACATTTTGAAAGAATACCTTGTAAGTGCCTATTAGGGGCAATGAAGCACAAAATTGCACATGCAAATATAACACATGACACTAAGACTTGATGTTGGAACACAATTCTTTGCCTCTATAAAAGTCTGCCCCCCAAAAAATAAATAAATAACAATGCCAAGCTGTTATGCAGGCTCACGGCTACATTAGGACTCTTAAAGGACAAGGAACATGAGAAAGGGGATTTAGTTAAACATATGCGGTGTATCCAGATAAATGTGTACATGTGGTATGTGGCACCATAGACCAGTCTATGGCACCACAGACCTATCTGTGGTGCCACACACTAGACACACCACACATGCAGGCATTCCCCATGCTGCTAATTTGCAGTACAGAGGGAGATCCCGGTGTAAAAAAAAAAACAACCCTATACTAGAAAGAAGCAGGGTGGTGCATGTGGTAGCAGCATATGATGCCTGAAACTGGAGCCTGGCTGGCTGGAGCCACACTCTGGCTGCTGGCCAGGCTCCCTGATCCCAGACTGCCACTGCTGAAATCCCAGGAGCCACCCAGGACCCCAGGTAAAGCAGCTGAGGCCAGCCCAGGTGCTGGCCCCAACCTCCCCTACCTCACCCAGGGCAACTTGCCACATGCCAGAGCACATATGCACAGACATTCCCTGGGGACAACTAGCAGTGGCACAGCTATGTGCCACTGCTAGTTGTCCTCAGGGAAACACATGTACGTGCTCATCTGGACATGCCCATGCAGTCCAACCTCAATCTGTGGATCCTTTATCATAACAACTGTTCAGGACTTCTGATGGTCAGCAAGCCCTTCTGATTGCAGATGGATATGAATCTGGAGCCTGGCCCCTGAAAACTAAGTATTTGTTTTGGATTCATCCCAAGCTGCTTTATGTTGTTATTGTTACCTTTCAACATATCCAAATACAAATTCTTCCCTTTGAAATACTGATATAAACAATTTGACAATTTGCAATTTTTTCCTCCATGTTTTTGTTTGAAACAAGTTTACAAATTAGACAAAAATCTATGATGTGTGGATTCCCTTGAAATTATATATTTTTGGGTGGATTTACTGTTCACTGAAAAAGAATCACTTAGATCTAGGACTGAGCCCTGTAGTCTGATAGCTATAGAGGACTTTTTACATTCAGACAGCAGGATTAAGTTGCATGGCATCAGCTAAGGGGGAAAAAAAAGACAGTACTATGCTCTGTATAAAGGTGCTTGTGAAAGGACACAGCTCTTTTACTTTCCTTGTTTCTCCTGTGTAGACATTTAATTGCCTCCAAAATGATGCTCAATTTCTGTCACAACCCTGTTGTGGAGAGTAGAGACTGAGTACACTATGCTTGGACCACACCCATCACATCCTTCATGCACTGAGCTGACAGCTCTCGGCAGTCAGTAAATCCTGGGCATAGCCAGTTTATGTTGTCGAAAAGATCTACCACGTTCTTACTGAAATAGCATCCACCATCAGATTTGGTTCTTTAGACAGAAGATATTAATTGTAGCTTGACTGGAAAACTAAAATGCACTAATGAATTTCAAAGGTCCATTAAAAATCTACTTAGAGAATATAAACATTTCTTTATCTTTGCTATAACAGAAACTTTAGAAATACTAATGCTGATGTGTTTCATTTGATATTAATTTTTATGGAGAGAGGTTCTGTTATACCATGGCAGTTTTCCCCAATCTACATTTCCTGGAGATCATTACAATTTTAAAGCCAATAAAAATAAGATGCCAGGAGATTTACAGAAAAAAGCATTAAGCCACTTTTATTCTATTTTTCTTAGCTGTTGAGTTGGTGGAGATGCACTTTTAATAACACTCTAAGCATCAAAGCCCAATGCCCAATTTTGTCACTGAAAAATATACAAGTATATAAGATGTATAAGTTTTTTTTTCAGACCCACTTACTTCTAATGGCACATATATAACAAAAATCAATGTCAGGATCTTTTAAGTAATGCCTTTAGATTATGTCAGCTTCTGCCTCTATTATGTATATATTTATATTTAATTTGCACTATTTGTATAACATTACCTTTTATAAATCAGGTAAATCCATCACTGGATAACCAGCCTTCTTCTGCAGCATTCCGGTACTAAAGAATAAGTATAATTAAGTAACAACCAAGATGGCAAAGAATTTAATAAAAAAATTTGTTCGATCCTTACCTGCAAATAAAAGTAGAGCTGGTGGGAAAAGTGACCCTAAGCTACCTTTCTGCAGTTCTGAGACATCTGGCAGATAAAACAGCCCATGGCATAATTTAGTACAGACTATAGGCTGTGCTAAGAATATATCTACATGGCACAAGACATGCCAAGACAAACTGCTGCCACACTGAGACGCATCATACCCACACTGGCCATGCTAGCCGCTGAAATAGAACCAGCAAAGCCACAGTAAAATCATAAGATCATAAAAAAGCAGGGCTGTCAGGGACTTCTGGAGGTTATAACAGGGGCCACCCAGGGCCATTCACAGTGTTGGCCCACCCACCTGTCTAGGACAGTCTACCCTGATTCTCCTGCCATGCTTTGATACATTTAACTGGATGTAAAAATGTGGGAGGCTGCCCATTTAATGTCCAATGCCTAGTGCATTAAACATGACTCTGACCTCTCCTTTACCATGTCCCATGCCTTACAGATGGCCTCCAAAATCACTCCTAACTCCCCCGTCCCCCTTGCTAGGCCAGTGGCCCAAACTATCCACTATTACTCCGCTGGCCCCGTTGCTGGGCCATATATGGCCTCTGAGCCAAAAACTTGGCTTCAGGTGTGCAGAGACTTACCTTGGCCATATGCCCCCTCACTGGGACCTCAACTCATACATGCACTCTGAGCTTCTTGCCTCATTAGGCTCCTAGCCCTTCATAGTTTCATAGTTTCTAGGGTCAGAAGGGACCTTAGC